AGTCAGGCATGCAGTACACAATATCCTCTGGGATATATGTCCAAACTGGGGAGAACTGTAGAATATTCGGAACAAAAAGGAAGAAAAAAGCAGAATAGGGGAGAGAGAGAGAGAGAGAGAGAGAGAGAGAGAGAGAGAGAGAGAGAGAGAGAGAGAGAGAGTCAAAACCAATCGACCAATCGACACCCTGGTATGGGCAGAACAAAGGTAAGGGGATTCGAGTCGTCTTGTGCATAATGAAGGTTGACCAGGGATCACGACTACAAACAACGGCTCAATCCTTGATACGGGCATGGCTCATATAGCAATGGAATCGTGGCAAAAATGTGAATGTGCTTTCGTCCCATCATGGAACACTGGCAACTGGATTGGCGTCCATCATGACATTCCAAATTTGGGTGTATGACTCAGCGCTACAACTGCCATCTCAGGTGTGTGTGTGCACATGGCATATTTATGTTTTAAACTGTAAATTTTGAAGTTCTTTTTTTTCCTTGACTTGCCGGTGGAATAGGAACCGGACTGCTGCTCCCTAGAATGGATATGGAGTATTATGCAGCCAGAATCATAAGGTTGATATATATCCGCCTTGGCAATGCTGAAATGCATGCCTTCTTTTCTTCCATCTTTCTTTCAATCCTGTTGTGCTTTCTTCTCTTCTCTACCCCCTTCACCCCCTTCTCTCCCCCCTCCCCTCCCCCCCCCTCCTCCTCTCCTCTCCAATTCTTGTTTCTGAATTTGTTGCGCATTTGGGGAGACCCTGTAAGGTGCTCGGCTCTTAACCCCCAGTAATCTACTGAGCCTCTTTTTGACGAGGCGGATTTTTTTTATTTCATTTTTTTTTAATTTTTTTAGACGGCAGAATATCCGTGCGAGCACATTTTCCATTTTAGTGAATAGATACACCCTGCTTCTTTCACAAATCTCCATTGCCCGGTTTACGACCTGCTCCCCTAGATTCCATATGCTCTCCCACGAACAACTGTCGACCAAAGCCACAACCATCCTGCACCTGCTCAGTACCACATAGCCTCGTCCTTGCCCTCTCTCTCTCTCTCTCTCTCTCTCTCTCTCTCTCTCTCTCTCTCTCTCTCTCTCTCT